TCTCATCCAATCATAATGTATACTCAACATATGTCTCCTTTTAGGGTATCTATTTTCCCTCAGACTAGGGTTGATTAAGTATTTAATGCAAAGCATCCTCCTCGAAGTTAGGGTGTAGGGTGTTGTAAAAGAAAACAACATTTCTCGTTTCGCACTTGTCTCGCACCATTTCAACATGAGCATCAAAAAATGTGACCCTGGACCACATAATCAGTCATGAGGGTCAATTTTTTAAAATTGAGATTTTTACATCATAAGCTTTACATTGATGTATGGTTTGTTATGATAGGACAATATTTGGCCGAGATACAACTATTTGAAAATCTAGAATCTGAGGGTGCAAAAAAATCGAAATATTGAGAAAATCACATTTAAAGTTGTTCAAAGGAAGTCCTTAGCAATACATATTAAGTTTTGATATATTTACGGTAGGAAATTTACAAAATATCTTCATGGAACATGATCTTTACTTAATATCCTAATGATTTTTGGCATTAAAAAAATCGATAATTTTGACCCATACAATGTATTGTTGGCTATTGTTACAAATATACCCTTGCTACTTATGACTGTTTTTGTGGTCCAGGGTCACAAATGAGCATCAGGATGCTTTTAGCTCAAGCATTAAAATTTCCATAACACACCGTCCTTTTGATTATTCTTTAATCATTTAGTATATACAACCATCAGGACATCTAGCATGTTAATATACCAGGATTCAAAACATACCATCATTAACGGGAAATGCATTTACATCTCTACACTAGCAAACTGAGGGGAGCTTTTCCATATATCATTCTTACACAATTGTTTTTTTTTGTCATTATCTGATGAACTTGAACTAATACTAAATCTTGGGGGTTTAGTCACCCATGGTGGAATAGGGACTAAATCTGGGAAATCATCATCATCATTTTTGGGCACCTGTGTATACATCATCATTTGGTGATGTATACACATTTTTTCTCCATTTTTTTTCTCCATGGCTGCTTCTCCTCCATTGTTGCAAAGGTATGCACGTCTGAAATAGAATCAGAAAGTTCAATCATTAGGCAGTTATTTGCAAGCCTTTGTTAATGCCACTAGTTTAGCCTCTTGGCCTGAATAGTGAGACTGCAGTGACCCCGACAAAAGCACATCATGTTCCGTAGTTACAGTATAGCCAACCTTGTTTTGCCTGTCTCAGGGTCTCTAGAGGCTTACCCCTCAACAAAAATTATCATGTCAGCATTGTCAAAGGGGGTCTCTCTGAGGTCTGGCCATGGCTTGCAAACAGCTTCAAGCACAGTTACACAGCAAAGTTCTTCCTCCTCCCCCTCTTTTGGTAACAGAGTGGTAATGTTCAACAGAGAGCAGCGTTTCACTGTCACAATTGTTTTTTTAAGAAATACAGTGTGGTATCTTAGCCAGCGAGCAGTAGACAGATGTGAAGTTTTCTGTTTCATCAGAATCATTGACACAGCGTGTAAAACCAGCAGTGTGACATCAGCGTAACCAATGATTTCTTGGGAAGCCGTTATGTCTTTTTCTGCAGCTGCTACTGCCTGTAAGCATGTTGGCAACCTGGCAGCCACAGGATCTAATTTTCTAAAAAAATAAGCTACTGGTCTCAACCTGCACCCATGGTTCTGCAACTGCACAGATGTCATACAGCCATTTCTTTCATCCACAGTCTGCACAAATGGGTGTGTCAAGTCAGGCAGACCTAGAGAGGGTGCGCTCTGTAATTGAAATTTTAAGCTTATGAAGATATTTTCTGCCTCCTTAGTCCATTTCACTTTGTCATGAGAAT